TGCCCCAGCCAGCACAGACCATGGCGGACACCAGCCGCAGCGACGACGACCTTCCTCCCTGTCTCCAGCTCCTGGCCGTCCGTCACCGCTCTGGGAGGGCACACGGATTTAACGCTCGGAGCCAACAGACAAAGGTGGTTTTTCAACAGTCACTGGGAGTCCGAGTGCTGACACGACAGCCCATCCGTGCGACCCAGCCTCAAGCCCAGGTCTGCTCAGGCTTCCTAAGCCTGGCTCGAACCTCTGCCGCGCCGAGCGCCACACACCGACGGAGCGGGGTGCTCCGCAGCCGAAGCCCCGTGCCAAACAGTTTCAGAACACCCGCTCACAGAGCTGGTATGGCAACACCAGCTGGGCAGCGTGACGCAACTGGGGGTTTGGCAAGGGGATCGTTTCAGAGGAAGTGCTGCAGCTCACCCAACGTCAGGTGCAACACTGTAGGTTGGGGCACTCGGGGCACTGCCAGGGGTGGCAGAAGCCTCCACTAAGCTGTTCTGGCCAGGCTCTGAGCAGGACCTGGCCTTACACTGCACGTTTGTGCAGATCCCCCACCCCACAGGCTGCAAGACCAGGGGCCCTGGGACCTATCTCCCCCTGGCACACGCAGCAGCAGCAGCTGGGCACTGGGCACACAGGTGCCAGCCCTGACTCCGACACTGGGCAGGAGCTAGGGCACAGCAGCTGAGGCCAGGGAGGCAGAGGGCTCCTCGGGCTGAAGGAACAATGTACGGACACCATGTACTGCCAAAACTGCACGTGCCATGCCAGGGCCTCCCCGGCGAGCCCCAAGCAGGCAGGGGGGCTGCACCTACCTCCACGTAGGTCTCGTTGTTACAGGCCTCGGTGAAGATGCTCGGGGCGGCGGAGTGGGCGAGCTCTCCCTCATCACTCCCGCATTCATCTCGCTCCAGGAGTGTCATCAGGTAGCGAGCTAGGAAGAAAGAGCAAAGCCCCTGAGAGGGGAGGCAGTGCCCTCAGAGAGGCCCTGTGCCCCTGGCACCTCCCCGCTTGCCATGCAGCGGAAGGTTTAGGGGCAGCAGCCATCCTGGGGAAGAGACCCAGCCCGGGAAGAGTCAGCACTCAGCCCCTGCCCCGGATCCTTACTGTTCTCCAGCCTCTGCAGGCTCTTGCGCCCCTTGGCCCTGGGGATGAGGTCCGAGTTGCGGATGGCCTTGTTGATGTAATACTGCTTTCGCTTGGAGGGGGAGAACCTCTTGGACGGGGAGTCCTCCAGCGGGGGCAGGCAGTCCTCGATCCTCCTGCAGGGACACACGGCAGGAGGGGCTGAGCCCACCCGAGACCTCCAGGGCCTGGGGCAGCTGCAGCAGCGTGAGGACACAGCTTGCTGCGTGGGGAGAGCATGTGGCAGGGATGGTGGGGGAGGCAGAGCATCAGCATTAGTGCAACGGGCACCGCATCCCCCTCCCCGGGGCCCTGCACCCCCCGGTCCCACCTAACAGCCTCGCGGCACGCTACGCCGCTGA